CTGTATATTTTATTCATACTATTTCATATTACATTAAAAGTTATAACATTTAACCATTTAGGCCAATCCGTAATAAACTAATTTCGAGAACCGTTAAAAAAAAAAAAATAATAATAATAATAATAATAATCAACAGAAAACTATGATATTTCATATATTTTACAATTATACAATAGATTTTAAACTAAACTAACTATAATTACAGATGTTTTAATAATTATATATAGACAAAAATCGCGTTATAGAATATTTAGGTAAAACAATAGAGAAAATAATAACAAAAGCTCAAAGAATAATAAAAATAAAAATGACCATCAGCTCTCCGACCATGCAAACTATTAAATAAATACCTATGCGTAAAAATACTGATAAATCCACCGCGAGAAAAACAAGTCAGGGAAACAGCGAAATCTGTGACTTTTTGAATTTACCATGATTTAAATAATAAAAAATAATAATGTATTTTTTTTTTTGTTTTAAGCCAATTCGACACAATAGACACAAATACGATTGGTATCATTTACCATATTATTATGATTTAATGAACTAAGTTTTGTGTTTTTGTAAAGCGAACGGCGATTTGCGCGGTCACCATATAAATGTTTGTAATATACATTAAGTTTAGACGCTTGACGGTAATAATATTACCGATCATACAGGGCGTCCATGTATATCCGTTTCTAAACACTTTGAACTCCCTGTATACGTGTAATGTGGACGGACTTAGCCATCGGCGCGAACGGTACTGCTTAGCACTGTGCGGACGACGAATTATTGTTGTTGTTGTTGTTGTTGTTGTTGTTGTTGTTGCCGCCGGGGCCGGGGCTGTTTCGGCCGGCACCGTGTGACTGGGCTCCGTGACAGTGGGCACAGTGCATGCACACCGCGCAGTTTCCTAACTTCTGAGCCAGCACGGCCCGGAATTTGAGCGCTGGTCCCAGCTTCATGTTCATGGTGCCGGTCAGGTGATCCTCGCTGAGCAGTGGTAACGCTGTCCCGTCGATCGACTGCTCCCGGAAACACTGGAAAACRTTAAAAACACAAGTACGTTAATACATGAAGGTTTGACATTTTTTATTTATAATATAATTATAATWATTATTAGAATTAATTTTTTATGTATCTATAATATACGTATAACAAATGAATTGTTAGACTTTTCACTAATATAGATTGTTTTCCTTTATGACAAAAACTATGCACACTCGAAAATATATTTGCCACTATTTTGAAGTGTCGTATTATTATCTCTGTATAAAACCACTTTCAAATCTGGCCAATATTTCTACTTATTATTCCCACTACTTAGATCCKACTAACTGCATACCTTTAAGTCCAAGAAGTTGAATAAAATTGACCTTTTATATAAACTATACGTATTCTAACACTAATTTACAGGAATCGTTACTAAAACTTGAATGATTAGGGTATGAACATATTGTCATTTCAACTTTTTACGTCATGCATCTTAAGATMAAGTTTAACAATAATTATAGCCATAACTTTCACTATTGATGGCTGATGCATTGAGACAAAACCAGTCAATGTTGTATGCTATACTATAGAAGAAATAAAGATGACATCACGTATGTATTTATATGTATATATATTATTTAGTGATATTATTACAGGTATGACTTGTCTTGTAACGATGGATGGCAAGTTTTTCATGCTTAATCGCCAGTGAGTGTTGGTATATTGTAAATAATATAACAYGGTAACCATACAAAAATAAAATATTTAATATTGTTATATATGTATGACCTAACGCCTCTGAATGTTGGCACATCGTCTACCACTGCCAGTCTTTTACGCCCAGTGCAAGGACGAGGTGACTCTAAGACGCATATTATTAATAAAATATAAATTATTATTACGCAGAGCACGATCTCATTGGAACGATCAGATTTTATCGACGGTATACTTATCTTATACATATATACATATACATACGTGTGACATTGTAGAATATACTTCGAATGGAATCGTCATACGTATTTAAACTTAAGATATATTCTGCAGAGTGCTGCACAGCTACTGAACATTTTGTTCATTTTAAACGGASGGTAGCTGTTTATTTCGTTCCAATAACATTTATACATTCTAAGGAAGATTTTTGGACAGATCGAGGACGAGGAGACGAAGGAGTGGAAAACGGATCAAATAACGAGTTGGAGAGACACTTTCAACACAAATCATTTCAGACATAATCAGGAGCAAAAATCTTAGTGATCTGGGGAGAATGGAGAAGCTAGAACCAACTTTTACTCGTGATTATATGGTATAGAATCTAGTAGGAAAAGGCCAATTTAGAGTCTCCGACAGTACCTCTTATTAGTTTTATGTAGATTTGTATAAGCATAATAAAATATTCCATTTGATTTTGAATCAAAGTATTACACAATTTTGTTTTTACCTATATYGTGCAATAAAATTCAGGTGACATAATATGAGATATACACAAATAGTAATTTCCCCATTTTATTATACCCATAGTTAGCAATTTCYAAAATTAATTTTTATTTCTTACATTTGACGATCTTATTTTTTTGTTTTATTGTATTTTTCCGAAAATGTGCAAGAAACGGCCAAACGACCGGAGATATGATGCCTACATGTTATTATTACCGCAAATGAGTAAACGGCGTATAATTATTGAACGTGATGATAAAATGCAGGCATTCTATAAAACAAGAAACTGGTCGTGTGCCACTAACGTCCATCGAATACCATCGAATACCTGTGTACAAAAAAAAAATGAAATTTAACTGCAATCGATTGCAATTCGATGGACATAATACTGCGCGTTTAAGTATATACAATTAGTCGTGATTTGCACCCTATTCGATTGTTGCGGTGTAGCATTTACCATTATATATAGAGTTGTCAGTGGACCGAAAATTATTATTTTCATATATTTACAGTTAAACGTGCTCCGCATATGAAAAAACGCTACCCAGACACAGTTTCTGAYTTTTTCAACGTTAAGTACGCCAAAAGTAATTTAATAACCTGCGAYGATGGGTATTTCTAGAAATTCACTTATTTTGTATTTTCTCATACTATAAATCTCACCAATGGTATAAGAATTTTTTGTTCAAATTCTTTCGAACACGCAGAACGACATACTGTCGATCGTACCTGCAGTGGTTAATTATCAGAAGTTTAATTTATCAACCTGGCTCTTGTCAGAGAGTTATCACACAGTTCATTTTTGACRAATCGAAAAAAAAGTGCACCAAAGTCGGTTTTTATGAAACTGCGTTCATCGATCAATGTGTTTGACAACTTCATGATAAATCTGATAGTTTTTATTAAATTCATTTTAGATGATTTGTCTAAAATTATAATCCTACTGAGTGGTAATACACTAATACATATTATGTAAATTATGGTTCCTMATAAAAATGGTACATTTTACTGTCATTTCAGCTCGAAAAAAGTCTAAAAAGGTATTTTACTCGTTTTTTTTGTTTATTGTTTTCYCAATTATTCCAAAAAGTACCAACCTTATATTATCTAATTTTCTGAAATCACACTCTTTAAACATTTATCACTCCCCTCAGAAACTAAAACGTAGCTAATTAACAGAAACATACCTAATATTTATTTAAAAGTATTTHAATTATATAACTTTTACGGTGATATTATACCAACCTAATAATCATATACAAATCGAAAAATCTAAGCTCACAGCCAATGACGACGACGCGCACGTATCATAATATTTTTTATTATATCATATATGTATATATAATTTTATTCGGTATATTATTTATGTTTTGCCCAATTCGTATACATATAGGTATACAGCAAAACGCACAAGGAAAACAATATAATAAAACTATAATACACAACTATTTACTGAATACATAATATTTTGCCTGTACAGCTACACACACACATTATAAAGTCACTACTATACGTCTGTAGGTACACCACAAGTTTATAATATACTACTCATACTAGCACGATTATACTACTACTACTACTACTACTGTTGCACCGAACGAGCGGCTTCCTCGTTGGTTATAATGTACGTGCGACGGCCACACGTCTCTCACGGTGAAACCATCACGTCTGACCTTTAACACTGACCTCACGAGATCAAGGACTGCCGTGGCCGGACGGGTGTGCGTTGTACATATGTGTGCGTGCGCACGTGTATGTATGAGTGTGTGTGTGTGTATTCTCTCCTCAAAAGTTCGACGTGCGGCGGCGGCGGCGGAGGCAAAAGGTAGAGGTCACATTCTTCGTTCCGCTCGCGGGGACCCGAGCTACGGTCGATCGTCGTCGTCGCCGTTGTCGTCTCTGCCGCCGCCTTTAGGACCGATCAAAACCAGATCGGATCAACCGGTTCGTATATGTATGTATATATTATTATTATACCGTCGAAACTCAAAACTAGTCTTTACCATATACCTATAGCRTATAGTATACCTATACAATATAGCAGCGGCGGCGATTAGATCCACCGCGCACCGCCGTCAGCTGGTTCCTACCGTTGCCCAATCACTTCTTTTTTTTTGTTACGTTTTGTTACTGTCAAAATTTGACCACATGAAACAAAAAATTAACCACTACTAAAAAAATAACTGGTCCGGTCGCCTTTTAGTTATTCCACGTACCTTACATGTTACCTGTTACATGTATACCTTACATGTTTTTCTCGCATTGTTGTTACGAATTATAATATTTTTATTCTTTTTTGCTTCTTTCGTTTAGTATATATTATATCACGTTTTTTTCATAGWCATTGTTGTCATTATATTTATTTAGGAAAATAATTATGATTAAGATTTGGGTCTGTAACCACGTTGAAGATATATCTAGTGACTACTGAACGCGGGTTTGCTTAAATAAAATAATATGTATACATCTATATTATGTTTATAGGTAGGCCCTACTACTGGATGCTTAATAATAATAAAAAGAACATTCATTATCCTCATCATTTAGAAAATCATCAATGGTTTGAAAATATTTAAATATATTGATTTCATAGTTTGCAGTTATCACAAAACAACATTTTTTTTTTATCATTTTAAATTTTATTTTGCCCAGCAAACCATTTCTTATTTAAAATTATTTTTTTTTTAATGAATATTCGTTTATAAAAATCAAATTTCGARTAAGCAGAAGGTTGTAACACATTACGCATATTTAATGTTCTGATAAGTGGAATGGAGTGATACGCATATCGTGGTACTCCTTAAAATATTGAAAATTAATGAATTAAAAATAATGTAAAAAATATTTTCAAAAACTTGCATATTTTTTTTTAAATAATTCGTCACAGTTTGTTGTATCGAAAGAATCACCTTGTATATCACCTATACGTGCTAAAATACATACTATTAACATCTAACTGTACTCATGAAATTCAATTCGTTTTATAATCATGTATTTATGTCAATTATTCTTTTAATATTTTAAACTATATTGCAGTATAAATAACGTTGCTCAGACTTAAACAGTCAAAATATTATAATAAATTATTAGATAATAATCAAACTTGATTATAAATCGAGATTTAAAAGTATATTACGTAAGTATTAAATGAGGGATAATAATATGACTGAGTAATTTTTCGGGGAACGTGTAATTACCATACATAAAAATGATAATAGTAATAATATAATAAAGGGTGGGTTAGTCACTTTTCCGAAACAGTGGCGGCGAATGTAATAATAACGATTTTACGGTATTTTAAAGGAGGAGTTCGTTAGTAGCAAAATATAAAAACCGAAACAATAGAACTGTAAATTATTGTCACTGATTTGGAGGAAGCATCAGCAATAAAACGCACTCGGGATGACTGTGATTTTTTTTTCCAAATACGATTTCCGTCCGATAAAATAATATTATTGTACTAACGACGACAGTAAAACCTATACCGGCTGRCTATACTATGCTAATGATGTGCAATGGGTATACACGCAGTAGTCACACATAGTAAAGACCAAAAAAAAACGAAGGTGTCTGATTTTAACTGTGCATATTTATTATATTGTTAGTATAA